GAAAAAAAAGAGAGAAAGCAAGCGAAGACAAGGGACGTGCTCTGAGTGGGGAAACAGAGCCTGGGGTCGGGAGGAAGAGGAGGCCGAGGGTCATGCGGGGCTGTCTCTGTTCAGACGATCAGTGGCAGCTGCTTACCTCCTGCAGTCGGTTCTCCCTCCTGGCGGTCAGCATGAGATGGGCCCCCATTCGCGCAAATTCGTAGGCCATTTGTTCCCCAATGCCTGAGCTCGACCCCGTCACCAGCACGCGCATTCCTCGCACCATCTCTGCAGACAGAAGATGAGATGGTCCAGATTTACTTCCCAGCCAGCCAGGGGACGCACGGTGCTGTTGCGAGGGGTCCTTGCAAAACGCTTGGGACGATCTTTAGCTAAGGGAGGAGGTTCGCCCCACAGTGGGATCGTTGAACCTATTCCCCATCGGTGCATTTTCTCTATCCCTCCAGCTTTCGCTGCTTCAAACTCATATTGGAACCAATTTATGTTTCCTGTTTTATGTCTGCTGTTCTGAGAGCCCCTCCTCGGGCAGAGAGGTAAGTACCCGAGCAAATAAGTGATCGGTCGGGGGTGACACCTGCCACTGATCTCTTGTATAAGACTCCCTGCCTAGAGTCACGTTGGTTCTCTGCCCCCTTCCCAGGTAAGTTCCAACCGGAGGGTTTGCTTCCGGGCACACTCGGATTTCGCAAAGCCCCTTCATCGGCGAGAGGGGCCGTTGCCGATACTCCGCCAGCCCACATCAGAGTGATGCGTCCGGCAGGACATCCGCCTCCTCTCCCCAATCTGTGGGATGGCCGGAGAAGTGCATTTTGGCAGGGGGAAAAGCCCCCAGGGCCAGAAGGCGAACGGACAGCCCTCCGCCGGTCGCCTCCAGTGCCAATAGAAGCAGGGCAGCCCCCCCCCCGCCACCAACCTCATCTCTGAATGAAGCTTGTCGGCAGGAGGGGAGAGACCCTTCTACGTGGAGGAAGCCGATGGCAGAGTCTGCCTTTGCACTGGGGGGGAATGGGGGGAATATAGTCATGTGCTTACTGTTCCCTTCTGGGGTTGATAGCTTTTCAGGTTTCTGTGGAGGAATCTGAGGGTCTGGTTCTCCCCAGTTGGCTACCACCTGTTTCCTTCCAAAGCTAATCACAGCCTTTCTTGGCTCCTGAGTTCAAGTTCTGCTCCCCCACTAGCCCCTTTTCTCTCCCCAGATCCTGGTCTGGCTGAATTTCCCAACCTGGCAAATTTAAGGTGCATGGACTTCAACTCCCAGAATTCCCCAGGACAATTCCTGCCATTTTCACCCGGTGGGATGCATTGCCCACCCTGACCTGGGTCTTTCTGCACCCTTCTAGCTCCCATCTGAACGCCTGACTAGAGTATTATGGGCCATCAGCTGCACTTTACCGCCAGGAGAGTTCGGCTTCCAGAAACGGGAATGGGAATTCCAGCTGGGGATCCAGGGCTGGATCCTGAGCAGCCTCAGCACACAGATGCTGCTGATTCGGGGTG